CTGGCCTCAAACTTGGATCTTCTTGCATCAACTTTCACATTGCTGGGATTACAGGCATGGGCCACCACACCTGGCTTCATATGAATTATTAATTACCCATAAAACTCAATGATACCAGTTCTACAAGAATTTGGTTTGGACTTCTCCACAGGGATATATGTTGAAAAATAATTAGGTATTATTGTTTCTGAATGTTTATATCAGAATTGTACTCAGTAGGCATTTTTATACTTAATCTGTTTGTTTTAATATTTTGGAATTTAAATAAGAACACTACAGAAATTTTTGCATTTTTAAAAATGTGAATTTTTCTTAATAAACTAAAAAGAGTATTAACACTGTTGGGTAAAAATAACCAAAGTAGATTTTATTGCATTAAAAAAAAAAAAACAGAACAGGAGTTCTAAGGCTTAACAACTTAGAAAACTTGACCTCAGTCAGTATCTAGGGGAAAGGCGTGGTTGGATGAGTAAATAGAGCAAAACTTTTAAGTATTAGAGAGATTTGAAGAGAGCAAATCAAGCCTGAAATTGGACTTGTCCATGTGAAATTGGCCATAGGACCTGGAGAGATAAATTCTAGCTGACTTAAGCTAAAAACACAGTGAGAGAAAGCAAAGAGGGTAACCTTGGTCATTAGATGAACATTAAGTTTACACAGGATTTGCCTGTGGATGGACATTCTGAATTCTATGTTCTTATGCAAATTAGAAAAAAAAGAACTGAATGGATATTATACAGTCCATAATTGTATCCAATTATATCCATAGATTTACAAAATAAACACTGTTGTGTATGGATCTCTAAGCAGTGAATCCACAGTGATCATCAAAAGTGAAGAGCATCTGTTTCAGTCAGCTTAGTTGCTGTGACCAAAATAACTAATAAGAACAAGTAAAAGGAGGAAAATTTATTTGAGGCTCATGGTTTCAGAGGTCTCAGGCCATAGATGGCCAACTACACTGCTCTGGGCCCAAGATGAGGTAGCACATCATGATGGACAGGCATGGAGGAAAGGCCCTGGCCTCATTCACAGCAGCCAGGAAAACAGAGAGCAAGAGGGGTAATGGGACCACCTGGACGATGAACCTTTCCAGGGCAAACCTCCAGTGACCCACTCCCTCCAGCCACTCCCCATCTGCCTACAGTTACCACCAAGTCCATTCATTCAGATTATGATGGACTATGATGTGAGGTTACAGCTCTCACAATCCAATAATTTCATTTGCAAATATTCCTGCACTAACACATGAGCTCTTGGGGGACACCTCATTCAAATCATAACACCAATATACTGTTATTTATCAAAATAATAAAAAATAAATCCAAGGAGACTGAAGGAAGACACAAGGGGATCCAGAAGGCTTTAACATGATTCTTTGGGTGCTTTGCCAGTGGAAAAAAATTGAGGGGACTCAGAGGTAACAGTAGTGTATTGGTGAACAGGTGACAACCTTGTGGTGGAGACAGGTGAGAAGCTGGAAGGCAAGAAATCCAAGTAGGATGTTGGAGGAATCGTGCTAGCTCTTTGAGGTTTTAGCATAGCTGTTCTGGTAGGTGGACACAAGACAAGTGAACTCTACAAAACAGGATGGTGGGTTAGCTATGCTGGAATTAAAGATTTCTACTCAATAAACTTTATGGGATTTGGGAGTCTTAGAATTTGGGGGAGCCTTTCTAAGAATTATCTTATACTAACAAATTATTCAAATTTTGTAACACTTAAATTTGTTCCAGATATGAAGCTAGCAAGAGGAAAAGCCATCTATTCAAGCTGGACAGAAAACATGTCGCTTTCAAGGTTCTTTTCTCATTAGAAAATTGACTCTAGTTATGCTCCACATCAATATAAATATTCTTTATTTTGCCTGCCTCCAAGCATTCCTAATTATTGGAAATAAGAACTGAGTTTTCATTCAATGTAGCTTTATGAACAATTTCTTACAGCTAGATAGAGATAAGAATTGGGTCTTTAACAAACCCCAAAACAGTCATTTTCAAGCCATTCAAAGCATACACCAAACCCTCAGAGAGAAGGGACTAAGTTCAAATTTTCAAATTTAATATACTTCTGCATTATTTAAAGGCTTATTAGTTTCTTTTTAAATAAGGTTATGTCTACACAAACACAGTGAAGTGAATAATTAAAGAAACTGCCTGAGCTTTTTTAGGCCAAATCCACTTCTTTCTTAATTATTTGCCGATTGGGGGCAAAATTTCTTTTTACTGTGAGGTGGGCAGCATAAGGGAAAAGGAAAAGAAAATCTCACTGAAACAGCATCAGTCGTACAGCAAATGTAAAATGGAGAACATATTATCAGCATATAATCTGAACCAGAATTAGTCCATTTTTAGACAAATTTGGAACCACTGAAGTAGAATGAATCTTGATGCCTACTTTTTTATTATTTGCCCAGAGAAAGCGGGGTGCGGAGCTAGAACCAGAACCAGTTTTTTCAACTTCAGTGTTGTTTGCATACATCTATTTTATCCAAACTATCTGGCTGTGGCTGGTTTCACACTGACTTAAATCTATATGCCTTTGCTGAAAGTGAAAGGATATGTGTGAGTACACATATGTGCAAATACCTATGCACATGAGGATATATGCTGCATATAAGAGTTGTGCCCTCTCCCTCAGAGAAACTCATGAGAATAAATGAGTGCACTGGGTGAGGTATATCATATATGGGATCCTGCAGGGAAACAGACAGAACTCCAGCTGGGCAATATAAGGAGTGTTTAATAGGACTGTTTACAAAGATACAGAGCAGACACAGAGAAAGTCAAGATCCCTGGAGTGTGAGTCAAGGGAAGGGTTTGCAAAACCCAGAGGGAGCAGTTTTGTAGAAGAAGTGACCTACAGAATCAGTGTGGACTTCACATTTCTAGGCCCACCCACCTGCTGACAGCACTTCTAGAACCCCAACCAGAAATCAGATGGGGCCAGTGGGTGCAGTCCACGTAGGTGAGGTCATGGATCACGCAGGACAGGGTGGGTAGGACAGATTCAGAGGGAGAGGGATGAGAGGGGAGGAAGAGGGAGAGGGAAAGAGAGAGGGAGAGAATGAATATGAAGGGAAAAACTTAGGGAGGACAATATTGTCCTTTGTGTGAAAGCTGAGTAAACAGGAAACTACTGTGAAATTAAAGCTGCTTAGCAGTTTATCTTGTCTCCCAGTTAATTAGTGCTGTTTAAGAACCACTTTGAGTTCTCCTTAGAAGCCAAGTACAGAGCCATTTTAGAAACGGTCTATTACTACATAGGAAAGGACGTGCTCTCCTACCACTCCGGGTAATGATGGGACCAGCGGAGAGGACTGCGTTGCCTGAAGTGCTCTGGGGGCTCCAGGTTGTCTTCCTCTCAGCATCTCTTCTTTCTCTGTGGCCACAAATCTGAGGTGTTAATGAAAACAAATGAAAGGAAGTAAAATGAATTTCCACACTAGCACAAAATTGTTTCTTTATAGCCATTTGGAAAGCAGATTCTTTTGGAAGAGATACCACATGTTTAATTTTATTCATTTCCTTCTGTGCATTTATTTAATTACTTTGTATATGACTGCTACAGTGTTTCTTATCCTGGCTTGGGCCACATTTCTGATTTCCTTCCCCAGCAATTGTACGCTGCCTCATTAATTTACATAGCTCAATGGCTCTCCTGAAAAAAAGAGCTGTGTTTACCAAACTTTTTAACTTTTATCTCTCTCAAGCCTTTAATAAATTCTTCCCTAAAATGTTGGTCAGCACAGACCCAAGGTAATGCAGACTCTCCATTTACCTCCATCCGATACAATTAGGTGAGACCAAAGAGATCAATGTGCATAAAGAAATAGCTTCCTATTCATGCATGAACTGAGCATAAATATAAACATATTAAAGTTACTTTGAATTTTAAAAATTATCTGCATTTTTCTCCCCAATATTGCTTTAACCCTAGGGGGCCTATCAGAAGAGAATTTTAGATTTTTTTTTTTAACTCACTTGCAACTGGAGCTACATTTTAATGGTGGCTTGCCCTGTTTTAGTGTGTGTGTGGCTTTGGTATGGAGCCTCCTTTCCTATGGAGTGTCTCTGACTTTGCCTCTCTGGGGTTCATCCATCTTCAGAGTCATATCTGGGGCTCATCTCCTCCACCAGACCTTCTAATCTTGTCTCTCGGTCTTGTCACAATGGTGAGTACTGCCTCTTACTGAGACCCATATTTGTCTGCTTTCTTGCTTTTTCTATCTCATGGTCCTAAAAGATAAGCTAAGTGAATTAAGATTTCATAAATGCTTTATCCCTGTATCTCCTGTATAATGTTTGGCACAAAGTAGACATTCAATAGATCTTTGCTGGATGGATGTATAAATCCTAATTCAATCCATTAGACCAAATGCATGTCCACTTGCTACACAGAGATTCAATCCTGCCACATGATAACCTTTCAGCCTAGATTAATCCAACAATTCAGAATGAAGTTGCTTTCAAAACCTACTGGCATAAGAAAGGGGCAGTCATCGGCTCTGCAGAGCTTGGTAACGCAGTGCAGGAAGACAGTGGACATTTTCTGATTCTTGTGTTTCACAAATCGGAACACCTCGAAGGAAAACCGGCCACGCTGGCTTCTGCCATTTTCAATGACGGTGGTCTGAGGATCTTTGTCACAGCTATAATACAGGGAGTGTGAAAAGAGGACATCACTGCGACGAGGTACCAATCTACTGAGACTTGTAAATTAGTCTTTGTAGTATGAAAAGTACCCCAAAACATTATGCACTAACAGAACCATGCCATTGTATAGATATTTAATAAAAGCATAAGCTAATTCAATACTTGTGACAAGAGGAACCTGGATCATAAATTTAAAAATGGTATGGCTACCATTTTGGATTTCTATTTGATAGTGAAAAAAAACTATCACATATAATTTTGACTTGCATTTTTCTAGATGTGAATGAGTTTTTGTGTCTTTTCATAAATATTAGAGCCATTTTGTCCCTTTACGTGAAAACTGTTTTTATCCTTTGCCCACATTCTGGTGTTGGCCACTGTATTTCTGATTCTTATACATTCTTTATGCAATAGGAAGAGTGACTGCTGACTTGTTAATAAATTGAAAGTTGGTTTACTTTTTTGTTTGGCTTTACTTCAAAGTTTTAGAGGTATTTTGCATGCTTGCTTTATTCTATTATTTTAAAAACTGTATTTTGACATTTGAATTAACAATCTATTTAGAGTTCACCATATTATATTGAGCAAAATATAGATCTGATACTATTGTTTCTCTCATGGTTATCAATTGTCCAAAGCCCTTTCAAAATTCCTTGTCTATCCCACTAACCTGTGGTACCCTCTATCAGAGACTAAATCTGTTTTGAGATCTGTTCTTTCACTGTTTTGTAGTATTTGTCTGCATGTCCATTCTTATCTAATACCACATTCCATTAAAAATTCTAAAGGTGTCTCTAATCAGGACATCTGAAAGGACCACACCCTCCTCATTTTCATGTTGATCCTCCACTGGTATTTTTCTATTATATACCTGCCACTTATTCTTTGGTTCCTTGATCACATTAGCTTAGGATTCTACTTAATTTGCTTTTTCAAAGAATCTACATTTTCTTAATTTATTTCCAATTTTTATTATGTCTTAGTTATGAGTTTCAGACTTCCAAGTGGTAAGAACATCTATTTTCTAGTATTTTTTTTATTTACTACTTCTCAACATAGAAGTTATTGGTAATGTCATTAAGATCTTCTCTCTCCACACTTAATTTGAGGCCATCATAATAAGTTTCTTGAGAAGTAGATTAAATTTTATTATGTTTCTGACTATTCCCCTAGCTTACAATTTCTCAATTTCCCCTAGCTTACACTTTATGAAAGTTTTGATTTCACCCAGAGCATATTTTCGCTATATCAATGTAAGTTTTCTTTAATTTAGGAAACAATTCCTGAATTATAACTAATAATAACTATTCCTGAATTATATATGACAAATTTATTACATATAATTTATTCTATTATTTTGGCTTTTTTAGGGGGAATTCTAATTATGCACACTACACATATATGGAATTTTCTTGACCTACCTATTATTTGTATGTTTTGTAATTTAATTCATTTTATATTATCCTTGATATTTGTTCCCTTTTATTTGTATTTCTTACTTTTACCTTCTGTGCTTTATGCTGTGCATTCTACTTATCTGTGCTCCCTTGAATATTTTCTAATTGTGTCTTCTTTTCTATAATGTACTTATTTTTTCTATTTCCATCTTAGGTTATCCAAATTTCCTTTTTAGATGTTTATGATTTTACTATTTTCTGTCCTTTTACTTACCTGAGTTCTTATAATTCTATCTTAATAAGTATGATTATTTATTTTTTTATTTTTATTCTTTTATTTATATATGACAACGGAATGCATTACAATTCATATTACACATATAGAGCACCATTTTTCATATATTTGGTTGTATACAAAGTATATTCACACCAATCCATGTCTTTATACATGCACTTTGGATAATGATGTCCATCACATTCCACCATAATTTCTAACTCCATGCCCATTCCCTTCCCCTACAACCTCTCTGCCCTATATAGAGATTGTCTAAACCTCCCCTGCTCCCTATCCCTATCCCACTATGAATAAGCCTCCTTATATCAAAGAAAACATTTAGCATTTGGGTTTTTGGGATTGGCTAACTTCATTTTGCACTATCTTCTCTAACTCCATCCATTTACCTGCAAATGCCATGATTTTATTCACTTTTATTGCTGAGTAATATTCCATTGTATATATATATGCCACATTTTTTTTTATCCATTCATCTATTGAAGGGCATCTAAGTTGGTTCTACAGTTTAGCTATTGTGAATTGTGCTGCTATAAACATTGATGTGGCTGTGTCCCTGTAGTATGCTGTTTGTAAGTCCTTTGGGTATAGATTGAGGAGAGTGATAATTGGGTCAAATGATGGTTCCATTCCCAATTTTCCAGGAAATCTGTATAATGCTTTTCCTATTGGCTGCACCAATTTGCAGTCCCACCAGCAGTGTATGAGTGTACCTTTTTCCCCACATCCTCATCAACACTTATTATTGTTTGTATTCATAATAGCTGCCATTCTGACTGGAGTGAGATGAAATTTTAGAGTAGTTTTGATTTGCATTTCTCTAATTGCTAGCGATGATGAACATTTTTTCAAACATTTGTTGATTGATTGTATATCATCTTCTGAGATGGCCCATTTATTGATTGGGTTATTTATGGTTTTTGGTGTTTAGCTTTTTGAGTTCTTTATGTACCCTAGATATTAATGCTTTATCTGATGTGTGAGGGGTAAAGATTTGCTCCCAAGATGTAGGCTATTTATCTCACAACTATAAATCCATATGCAACAAAATGAAATTAAATCCCTACCTTTCATCATGCACAAAACTCAAATCAAAAGGGACCAAGGACCTAGGAATAAAACCAGAGACTCTGCATCTAATAGAAAAAAAAAAAGTAGCCCCTAATCTCCATCATGTGGGATTAGGCCCCAACTTCCTTTATAAGACTTCTTTGGCTCAAAAATTAAAATCAAGAATCAATAAATGGGATGGATTCAAACTAAAAAGTTTCTTCTCAGCAAAAGAAACAATCTGTGAGATGATTAATTTTTGATTATTTAAAAAAATAATGTAGGAATGTTAAATTCCAAATCTTATGTATTTGCTGACTGTGTTTTAGTTTGTTTCTGGTGAATTTAATTCTTTTCTGCCATTTTCAACATTTTTTTGTATTACATTGAAATACTGTAGGAAATGGCTGTGTTTGTTTAACAGTTGTATTTGAAAGATTTGGATGTCTCTGGACCTGCTATTTTCAAAGGACTCCTAAGAAAACATGGAATGGGAGTGGCCTTCCTCAGGGTTCCCCAAATTAAAGAATTATTTCACTATGACAGATAAACTGTCCACACTGTAGAAACTCCATAGCTGAGTTTTTCACTTCAGAGGCTCTGCCATCAGCCCTGTGTTCCCCAGGTTCAGTAACCATCCTTGCCCCCATAGGTAGGACCCTGACGTCTCAAGTGGTCCCCTTACCTTTACAAGGGCACATTGGCTGCCACTTTGTGAAATCTGCCACTTTATGAATACTGAGGTTCTAGGCACCATTTTCTCCTCATCTTTACTGCTTTTTATCAATATTAATGCAAATTTTGTAGGTTTTTCTTTCTTAGATTCACTAAAAATGACATTTGGGAAGTTTTGTTTGTGTGTTTTTAGAAGATGCAGGGATAAGCTACCACCATATTCATAATATTCATGCTAAATTCATACTTTTCATACCATATTCCAGATTATCAATATTTAATTATTGTAGAAACGTCGGAAACCAAATGATGCATAATTCTACCATTTATAAATAACCACTATGAACTGTTCAGTGTTTTTCCTTACAGTCTTTTCTATCATCGAAATACTATATATGTAATTGCCTACTATATATGTAATTGCATGTGCTGATTCTTCTCCTTCCTATTTTAATACATTTAAATTTTAAGGAATTATATATTACCAAGGATAGAAGTATCAAGAAGATGAAAAGAGAAAGGGTAAATAAAGTAGGACCAACTAACTTTTTCCATTTAATAAATAACTATATGATTGAAGAACCTGTGTGAACTTTCAATTTGCTAGTTCTCCATAATTCTCTTAGCTGTTTTCTTATTGCTGAATATACAGTTCATTCCCATGTTTTATTATCTTAAATAACACTGATAGATGAGAACATCATAAATATTATAAAATATAATTCTCAATTTGTAAAAATAGATCCAAACAATATGAAATCCTTTAATGCTTTTGATGCATACTAACATTTTTTCCCAAAAAATTCTTGCCCAGATCAACTCTTCCAGTAATAGGATATGTAAGAGTGTCAGTTTGACCATACCCTCTGAACATCATCTTAACCTTGATTAGGCAATAAAACATATTCTTTTGGTTTCTCATTATATTACTCCCATCATGTGTCAATAAGCTGCAATGATCTGAGCCAACTGCATTTTATAAGCATGCTTAGAAGTCATTGCTCAACTCTCAAGCCTGTTCTTCTGTCAGATAAAAAATGCTGAAAGGGAACTGGAATGACTGAATGGCTTTATGATCAATGTCCTCTTTCCCCAGATGTAGATTACGTTCACTCTATCACTGTCTGTTGGGAAATGAAGTTATTGGCTCTGATAAAAAAAAAAAGGAGTGGTAGGCTATATTATATACTTTCATATTAAATACTGATAAATGAGATAAAGCATTTGGGGATCTAAATTATCCAGACCACTACTTTAATTTTGCTCTCCTTTTGACATATGATGAGATGGTCTAGCTGCAGATAAATAACACCCTCCCATTGCCTTTCTCTTATTGCAAATAATATCCAACCATGCTTTTCCTAAGATAGTGAAATATTCCCATATCTCCTAAACATAAATAAAACATTTTGGGTGGACCTAACTTAATTAAAATTCTCATCCAACAATAGCTTTATCAGCATTTTGTGTTGAAAACTATTCTCAACTTTCATACTTATAGTTTTAAAGGACTGAAAGTCCAAAATCTAAAACTTTAAATTCAGAAGCTTAAAACAATATCCTGAAATTTGTTTGTCTGACCTAGGTTTTCCATTTCAATCATCTATAACTAGATCTTTGGTATCTATACACAATTTAAGACACCTACCTAAGGAAGAGGTCATACCGAATGTCATCGTTTGGATTCCCTGATGGGGTTGTATAGCAATAATCCATTAAGACATTCCATCTGCAGAGAGAAGCAAACATAATCTAGAGTCAAAATCCTCTTTTGAGTGTTGGATATTAATCTAAGGGAAATAAATATGAACAAATTTCTTATCATAACCATAAAATAATTTTTTATTACTTGTTATTACTTGTTATCTCTTATTGCAGAAGCTTCTTGTTGATTAAAATATTCTTCTAAACTGAGATGTTTAAAAATATGAAACTAAGTGTTATCCCCACATCAAATAGGTTGAGGCTAATGCCACACACACATACACACATACACACACACACACACACAGAGAGAGAGAGAGAGAGAGAGAGAGAGAGAGAGAGAGAACATGGCAAGTAAAAGGTTAAAGTCTGAAAGAAGGAAACCCCAAAGTGAACTACAGAGGTACACAGATGTCATTTTTCACTATGAACAAGGTTACTTTGTTTCCAGAAGTTACTGTCTCTAACATAAGACAGAGAATATTATATCAACAAGTAGAACAAATGAGTTTGTTGCATAAATGATGTGTCAGAATCAGTAGGGTAGACGTGGGAATTTACCATAGGCACTTGGTACGAGAAAGCCATGAGGCAAATACTCCTGCCCAAGGCCAGAGTGGGACTAAGTTTGTACATTATTTCATAACATCTCTGGAATGGGAAGCAAATACCATTAATATGGGGAAAACATCCTGCATGCATTGAGACAATTTTTTAAAAATCACACGTATTCATGATTAAAAACAAAGAAAGAAGGTAGAGAAGAACCAAATTTCTAGATTTTACCAATCTCTTCAGAATGCAGTTTAAATAATAGCTCACAAGAAGCCCCAAATAAACCATTTCAGATTATATTTTTATAGGACAAGATTAGAGCTTCAACTTTTGAGTTCCCTTTCAGTTTTGATTACTTTGAATTTTATAAGAATTACAGTAAACCTGACTAATTTCGTTTTTTGACCACATGTTTAATATAATTTCAGCCCAGATCCTTGTGAGGATAGTTCTTTTGTTTGTTGATAAATAGTAAGATATATATGGAAAAGCATACAAATCAAATGTGTTCACAAAATAGTAATAGTTTGTCTGGTTAATCATCTTTCTGATGAAAATATAGAACATTCCGGCATCCCCTAAGATTTCCCCACACCCTCTTCCAGTCATATCCTCCTTTCTTTATGGGAAGCCTTGTTATTTTCCAATTAATGACATAAAATGAGTGTCACCCCTTAGACTTTGTAATTTGCTCTTTCTTTTTATAAGCATGCCTAAATGGTGTGGCAATGACAGTAGTGTTTAAATTGAATTTAAAAATGAATAAGCTAACTTTATGACTCAGGAGACTTACATGTTTTAGCCAACAAAAGACAAGTTTGAAAATACCTTCCATCCAGATTAGTGGCTTGAACAGCTGCAAATACTTTGGTTTTCAAAGGTAATCCTATACTTGGGATAATTAATTGCTGACTGTAGGTTGAATCCTAATAATGAAGTAATAAATAATGTATCATTAGCTTCCCAACAATAGCACATTTACCACTTAAAACAGTGTTACAGAAAAAAAGAACAGGTAAATCAATACAACCACCTCCAAAAAGGATTCATTTAATTCTGATTCTTAGCAGAAGTTCTCTTAAACCATGTTCAGGTAACAAGTTGATTTCCATACATAAATCTTTTTTTTTTTTTGGTTTCCATAGTTTAATAGCTAATGTCCATTGTGTTTAAATTACATCCAATTGTCAGTGGCTTAATTCAGTTTGTTTAATATTCAATGGCCAATGTTCAGTTTATCCAAATTAGTGTTCCATTATTTTAGATTATAAAGAGGCTAATGCTTAGTTTATTTAAATTATACCTGCTTTGATTTAAGCCCTTTCTTTTGGGTTGGTAGATCTTAAACCTATGGTAATCTTACATTTTCCTCAACTCACTTACCTGGCAATTTGAAATTTAATTGAAAACCAGAAAACAGACCAACACACTCTCCGAGTTGTTCAAAATACATGCCATAGAGTTTCTGCACCAAAGTTCTTAGTGATTACTTATCAAAAGGCCTATTTTAACTTATTTACCTTTATTTTAGACCAACCCTAGGGAGTTTATTTATATCACTTCCCAATCTTTAATAGATTAAAGCAGTAAATAAGACATTAAGAAGTGGCATCTATAATTTGAAAATCAAAAAACAGAAAATTGTAAAATGCAAAAATGAAAACCTCAAAATTTTAACAGCCAAATCATTCCAGTTACAGAATAATTGTTTTCCCCAAATTTAGTAATTCTAAATTTATTGCTGTTTTGCAGCAAAAGAACTCTTTTAATGTTCACTATAAAATTTCAAAGTTAACAAAGAAAGAAAAATATAAGCTTACTGTCTTTAGAAGGCTGGGAAAAAAGCAACATAGTTGAATTTTTTAAATTAAGTTAACAATACTTTGTATGCTTTGCTTTTGAAAAAAAATGTATTCATATAGAACATTTCATTCCCAAATAAATCCAGATAAACGAGGAACTATATATTATACTTATAA